AGCGTTGCGTGAAATGGCTTAGCGTAATGTTGAATGGTACAGCGTACATACAAACAGTGTAGCGTTGCATGAAATGGCTTAGCATAATGTCGAATGGTACAGCGTACACACAAATGGTGTAGCGTTGCGTGAAATGGCTCAGCGTAATGTATAATGGTACAGCGTAGACACAAATAGTGTAGCGTTAGGTCGAATAGCTTTGCAGAACATCAGACGCTCTATCTGAACATTAAATTGCTTAGTATTACTTGAAATATTTCGATGTTGTGGCGCATCGTAGTGGCGTGACGTAAAAGCCATGCCATTCCTTTATTAGCTATGCTATCCTGCAGCTGATCCTTAAACCATCTTTGTATTTGCTGATCTATTTGACATCCTCGTATTTTTGGTGATGACGGCCGCCAAGGCTATCTCGCCGAAACCAACAAAAATACAAACCGCAAACGGAACAGCGATCTGCTGGGGGCATGACGTCATCGAATGTGAAGACTGCCGCGAAACTATCACATGGCGTAGTCGCTGTATTGAATGGTCTTCTCTTCGCTTTGCCGTAAAGCAGAGCCAATTCGGTAAGTTTCTCCGCTTTTTTACCATGCCGATATTGCATTTATTCGTTGTCGTTCATGAAAGCGTCAATTAAAATAGCAACGAGACTGAATTCTACCACGGTTTGCCGGCCTCCCAGTTTACCACAGTTTGCAAGCGTTGGTGGGCCTGAATATGTTTCTAGTATTTTAATACGTCATAACACTACTTAAAAGTAGTGTTATGACGTGCATTAAATGTCGATTGTCGAGCTCTCTTTTCTTTCTCTGACTTACTTTTCAATGAGAGTTCAACTTCAACGGCTCTTTGAACATTGGAGGAGTACGCATACTTTTAGCTACTCCAACTAATGATGCCGATATCGACACAACCAATCAGAATATCGAAAAAGCCTGACACACTTTTGTTCATTGATGCCTTGTGAATGAGACTGTGCAGCCATTTTGCTCATGATGCAGCATCCGATACCCGATGAATTCAATAGAGGAACCTTCAGTCGTTTCACGCCTTACCGCCTCTTGACACTTCATTAAAGAAAGTCGCTTAAATTATATTTTTATCGTAATCTGCAGTTATAAAGCTTTCTTCTGATATATAGTTTGCTAGGATTTTAGTGAAACTAGCGCGCGAACGAATTTT